AAGCACTCTACCAACTGAGCTATATCCCCAGCCCCCTGATTTTTTTTTTTTTACTGGAAAATGGTATTTAGAAACTAAGCTGTGCATACAAGGTGTGCTTACTGCTACCATGTCAGTTTTAGGCCCTTCCAGAGGACAGAGCTGGAAATACATATGTGTATATCAATCATGCATACACATACACTTTTGTTTTATATGAAAAATATTTTTAAATATTTTATAAATCTTTAATTTTTATAAAAGTTTTATAATTCTTTAACAACTATGTAACTCCTTGCTCCCAGGCCAGAGTATTTGGGCCCATATGTGTGTAGGCGGAGGGAGAGTGGCCAGAGCAGGGAGATACAGCTTAAGCAGGGAAGGCAGTTGTGGGGAAGGGGCAGCATCTGGCAGCCACCATGAGCCTCATCATGACTTCCAGAAGGGGGAGTCATGCTTGGGATGGTTATCTGTGTTTCGGTAGGTGGGAGGAGTAGAGAAGTCGGATGTGGGAGGGCTAGACCATGGAGGTGTATGGGTAAGACAATTTTTATTCAAGGCTTTGTTAAAGACCCTCTGTGTTTCTCCCTAGACTGGTGTAATGGCAGGTAAAGTCCCAGAGGTGGGGGCCTTGGGTGCAGCTGAGAAGAAGGTGAAGATGCTGGAGCAGCAGCGCATGGAGGTAAGTGGCTGGAGGGGTAGTCAGGAAAGACCCTTCTTCCCTCCTGGGACCAGCAGGATAAAGGACTCGCCTGGCCTCTAGGCTCCAGTTAGTCCCAAGTTACCATGGGGAGTTGCCATGGTGACCACTGAACCATACACCCAAGGAAGAGGTTTGCTGTCTTCTCTTGAACTGCCCACGGGGGTCACTCTGAGGAAATGGAATTTGTGGCACAACCTGAAATTACTGGGGACAATGGAAGGGTTTAAGAAGGCTCCCAAAGTACACAATGGATGGTGGGAACAGGTGATAGCTCAGGTGAGTTTCAATATTGGGGATGGAGAACTCCTCTGACTGCACCTGCAGCTCAGGGAGGGTCTGACATGAAGGAGGGTCCCCTGCCCTCCTGAAACACAACTTCCCACTGGCCCAGAGTCTTCAAAAGTTTGGGCTCTCCCCTGGTATCTCATGGTCTTCCTCCTCCACCTTTTTCTCCCACACAGTGTGGTCTTTCCAGGCCTAGGTAAAAGCCCAGTTTCTTTCTAGTGGCCTTGGTACTATCCTTCCTCCCTAGGCTCCTTTTCTCCTCATTGCTCCTACCCTGAGCCTCTGCCCCTCTGTCCTTCTTCACATATGAAAGTTTGTTACGTGCATATTAATTTTAGGTGATTGTTAGAAAGGTTTCTTTTTAGATTTCTGAAGTAATGCATGCAGTGCTCAGGGCTGGGGATGTGGCTCAAGCGGTAGCGCACTCGCCTGGCATGTGTGCGGCCCAGGTTCCATCCTCAGCACCACATACAAACAAAGATGTTGTGTCCGCCGAAAACTAAAAAAAATAAATATTAAAAAATTCTCTCTCTCTTAAAAAAATTATTTAAAAAAGTAATGCAGTGCTCATTATTTTAAAAAATTGAGAATATCATTTCTTAGAGATAACAGCAATTAATACCAGTTTATTCCATATTTCTCAGTTTTTTAATGCATAAAAATAAAATGATACAAACTACTTTATAAATTAGTCTTTTTTCTTTTAAAATCAGCTGTCTTTGAGGGTACCTATTTCTGTCTATATATGCCATATTTCTTCAGTTCTAAATATTTTTCACATATAATGTTTCTGAAATTGGAATACCCTTTTCCATTGTTTTATTTATTTAATGATGTAGAGTTGAGGAATTATTACATCAAGAGGGGGCCTATAATTAGTATTATCTTTGAACTAAGAAAATGTAGTAGATGCCTTATTTTCTGAATATCTGCAGTATCTTTTTACATTATAGTATACTTAACCTATCTTCTACACAAATGTTGGCCTCTGGATTTTTTTTTTTTTTTGGTAATATAAACATGGCTAAAATGATCAGTCTATATATATTTGCACCTTGTGTAAGTGTTTCTGTTGGTTAAATTTTTCATAGTGGAAGTATTAGGTTCAAGATAATAAAAACATGAAATTTTAATACATAATCCAGTGCTCCATGTTCCTTCTCTGCTTCTAACCCTCATCTTTCCCCACAGCTGCTAGAAGTGAATAAGCAATGGGACCAGCATTTCCGGTCCATGAAGCAGCAATATGAGCAGAAGGTAAGGTGGGGGTTCTTGGCTGGGCTCTTAGGGTATACTTAGTCTTGCTGCTTCCTTCTCAACAGTTTTGAGCCTTGTGGGGAAGCCACACTGAGCCCCAGGATGGTCCATATGAGAAGCTCCGTGGCAGTGTCAGAGGCCCCATAGAAGCCAAGCCCTGCCCACGTCCCAGGCACATCCCCTACCCCGGCCTTCATGCAGTCCCTTTCTCTGCCTCTGAACCCAGATCACTGAGCTGCGCCAGAAGCTGGCAGACCTGCAGAAGCAGGTGACTGACCTAGAAGCTGAGCGGGAGCAGAAGCAGCGAGACTTTGACCGCAAGCTCCTGCTGGCCAAGTCCAAGATTGAAATGGAGGAGGCAAGTGTGACCCTGTGCCTTGTGGTTTCAGCACTCCCCTCCCTTTTAGCCACCAGTCCATGGAGTCAGAGAGCCAAGGGTAGAGTCAGGAGGCCCAGGTTCTAGCTCAAGTGCTCAAGAGCTGTGTGGCCAAGGGCAGAGGCATTTTCCTTCCCTTTGCCTCAGTTTTCCTTCTGAAAATAAAAACGATTAGATTAGCTGTTGCTTTTCAAATTTTCTTGTTTTCAGTGAGGTTTGTTCAGTTACAGTCTTATAAACTGATAGTGTTTTCTCTCATGTGTGGAAGCTAGAGAGGAAAATGGAAAATAAAGATGGTGGGAGGGAGCCTCACAAAAATCAAAGGGAGATCAGTAAAGAAAGGGGACCAAGGGGTGGGAAGCCCAAAGGGACGAGGGATGTACTGGGGAATGATATTGGCCAAATTATATTGTTATATTTTGTGCATGTACAATATGTAACCACAAATCTCATCATTATCTACAACTATAATGTGCCAATAAAAAATGTGTAAAGAGAAAAAAATTCCCATGAGGTATCACAAGTAGTTAAAAATTCATAAACTGTGATTAGTTATTGCAGATTCTCCTTGCATTTCAAGCTCTCTTAAATGAACTTGATCTAGATGTATAAACATGTATAGAAAAACTGTTGTGAAAAGAAAGAAGATTAAATCCTAAATTCATAAAGAGTGACCTTATGACTAAGCATGCCTGTGTATGCACGTGTGCAGTGCATATATGTGTGTGAATATATGGACAGGGGTCTTGAAGAAAGGAGAAAGGCAAAGGGTGACCTATCTTTTATTTATTTTATTTCTAAATGGTAAAACCATTTAGAGAGTAACATATGAAAAAATGATTTGCTCTGTAGTTCTTTTTAAAATTATTTTGTATTTTCTCAAAACTTATCAAAAAAATCTTATAGAAAGATTTCTGTAAGAAATAGAAATTATACAGGAAGCACATGATATGAAAGTGATCCAGTCTGGGCCCTGTGGCACATTCCTGTAATCCCAATTATGTGGCATCTTCCTCCTGCAAATTCAAGGCCATCTGGGGCAACTTAGGGAGACCTTGTCTTAATGTCTTAAAAAAATAAAAAGGGTTAGGGGTGTAGCTCAGTGGTAGAGCACCCCTGGGTTTAATCCCCAGTAAAGCCAAAATATATATATATGATAGAAGCAGCCTGGAGGGACCATTCTACCAACTCTTTAGCATAGTGATAGGATTTTGAGGGGAGGTGCTAACAGGCAAAGCTTTATTTATTCGTTTGTCTAGTCAATTTTCACCAGAGCATGCCTGAGGCACTGAGCTGGACATAGAGATTCAGTGTGAACTATCCAACCCTGCCCTGACTGGGGAAGAGATGCTAAACAACTAATTGAAGTGAAAGTATATTAAGTACTACAAAGAAGTTATAGGAATCAGAGAGTGGACAGAATGGGGAATGGGGACCAGATTCATCCTAGAGGACCAGCAGGTCCTTGAAGAAATGGCATCTGCCAAAGCATGTGTGACTAATGCCATCCATAGCCCTCCAGGATCCTGGAGCAGCTTAAAGAGGAAAAGCCACATGACTCCCAGACCTTCAGAGTTTTACTCATGTCACCGTGTCATCCCTTGGTAGAACTAGACGCTGGCTTCTTTTACCTAGACTTTGTGTGTGTGTGTGTGTGTGTG